GCGTGGTCCCGGCAAATTCGAGCACTGTATTCACTCCAGTTCATGACCAAATGTCCCAAAAGCCTTCACTGCCTACAATCACTCTCTTTTTTGCCGCATGTACTTAAGATCCACGCACCTTGGCCCATCTTAGATGTCCAAACAGTTGCTAATAAATGTGGCATCCACAGTGAATGCTTTTCCCAATCTAGACCATTCCTCGCGCAATCACTGGCCAACTCTTCTGAGTTTAGCCTCCTTTGTGCTGAAGTCCTCAAATATCGTCTAGAAAAAAAGCAAGACTGCTGCACTGCACTCAGACATTTAACCACATGGAATGTATCAGGTTGGAGAACGTTACAATGGACTAACCCTAAGACACAGGCCATTCTTCGCCGTGCCCGCCAAGGCATTGTCTGCCTCCAAGAAACCAGATGGACGGCGAGTACTGCTACAAACTTCCTCCAGACTTACCCAGGCTTCAACATTGCACACTCCCCATCGATTGTCACAGAAAATGGAGGCCTATCTGGTGGAGTAGCTATATTGATTCCATGCACCTTTAGGTTACTACAGGAAGTTGTCATCACGCCTGGCAAACTCCTAGCGGCACAAGTCCAGACCAGAACCGATCGCTTTTGGGTTATTTCGGCCTATTGTCATCCCAACAGTGTTAGAGAGGACTGTGAAGCGCTGGCCAGATGGCTAACTGATCACCAGGATCACCCTGACCCCTTTTTCATTGTCGGAGATTTCAATCACGGTCATCACCTCTCGCTTGATGCTTGGCAACGCATGTTAAATTGTGCTCAAGGTGAAGATATTGTTAAAGATGAACCCACTTTCTGGGGTCCTAATGGCTCGTCATCAATTGATAAAGTCATTCTCCCGACGGAATATATGAACCGTGGGCCAATCCAACATCAGGTGTTCTATGATCGTCTTTTTGAGTCCGCTGGTCACGCATGCATATCCATCCAGTTGCGCCACCGGCCGCCAGTTTCCAGTAGCCCGGACCTGCCCTTACATATGACCATACCTGCGAGTGTCTTCCAACCGGGCAAGGACCGACATGACACTCGAAAAGTGTGGCCGTCCCTTCAATCGCTGGTTCGCCGACTTTGCCTAGTCTCCCAACCCACATTCGAGTCTCTCCAGACACTATTATGGCAATGGTGGATGTCACTCCCCAAACGGCCTCGGGACTTCAATACCTTGAGGAAGCATCTTCAGTCTGATCAACCACTTCTCAATATTTCCAAACATTTGCTACAAGAGCTCCTGGCGGCGCTTCCAGGTTTCCGACCTACCCTGGAAGAATACTGCCAATCATCCACTGTGATCACGGTTCCTCGTACCTTCCTTTGGAAGTGTTTCGAGCTCCTTGACCTTCAGTTGCAACAGCAACATCTTATCATCAGAAATAGGGATGAAACTACCCCCAGTCGCGGCCTAGGCACTAGTGCCCCTCTGTGGCAAAGATTGCGAGCTAGCTGCCCAAGAACAGTTTTCTATAATGGTCCTATCCTGGATGGGGCAGGCAACCAGTGCCAAACCGACCTGGACTTGTCTGCAGCCATGCTCGCCACTCGAAAGTTCTGGTTCCAACCCCCTGTTAAATACGATCCTGAGTGGACAGACTACCTAGAGCAGTACGAAGCACAAGCCCAGACCTGGCCGCACGTTCCCCCACCCGGAGCGGATGACCTAGTCAAAACTGTTCTTGCCACCAACGATTCTTCCCCAGGTCCAGATGGAATACCTTACGCAGCATGGAGACTTCACCCTGGCACATCTTCAGAAGCTATGATTACGCATCTTAATGACATCTGTAGATCATCTGTCCCTCCCCCTTGCTCAGTTCAAGCATGGATCCCGAAAGCCAAAATGGGCCCCACCGCTGATAATTTCCGTCCATTGGGCATGCCATCAACATTTGAGAGAGTAATAGACGGAAGCATTGCGACAGTCATGACCAAAGCCATTGCTCCGTTGCTCCATCCCTCTCAGACGGTGTTAAATCTTTTTCGTGAACCACAAAGTGCTGTCCAATCTGTCCAATCTGTTCTTGACCACGACGCACCATGTGCATGCCTCTCATTGGACCTGTCCAAAGCCTTCGAGCGGATTAACCCATATTGGATCTTACAGATTCTATCAGCGTGCAAAGCCCCCTGGTGGATCATCATGTATACCCGACATATACTCCTTTTCCGACGATGTAGACACAAGGTCCAAGGCAAATTGTTACCCTCAAAAATGATTGTCACAGGCGTTGACATGGGTCGATCTTTTTCAGTCCTGCTTTTTTGCATTGCCATGGACCCGGTTCTTACCTATCTCAACCGAATCCCTGGCATGCTTGCAGTTCAAGGGTATGTGGACGACACTACAATGGTGGGAGATACCACTGCTGGCATGCAATGGCTCTCAGACGCCTGGCAAGTTTGCACCCGCCTCAGATCTGCCGGCATCCAAATAGATGAGCACCACTGCTGGCAAACCAGTGGTATCAATATGCACGCAGCCAGCTCTGGCCAGATTGACCAATACCCTCCCTTGCAATGGACACAAAGATTACAAGGTCATGCTACACTGAGGCAAGCCCTGGTTCACAGAGCTGGTTATAGTACTACCACTATTGTGTGCCGAGCCAATCTGTTTGTGTGCCTTACCCCAGCAGAGGTTGATATAGTGTTGGCAGGAGGACATGTTGCCATAATTGACCCCCTGTTCCTTGTACAGTGTAGTTGTTCCAACAAATGCAGCGTACTAGTTAATCACCCAGCCTCCCAGAGTACTCTAAATGCGCTAGAATGCTCCAATTGGGGAGCCCACCTCATTGAGGGGAAAGCTACTGCGCTAGGATTATTATTATATGGTAAATTCTCCCGAAGCCATCAAGGCTGGGCCCCAGTGGAAGAGCTTACAAGTACGCAAGCCATCAATCCCAAAGCCATGTCCAAAGCTAACCATCGGCTAGCTCTCTTCGCCACACCTGCCCACTCAGTGGTGCAAAGAAGCCTTGCCAATAACTACTTTATTTTGTCCCTTAATATCTATCAAAGCACATACTTTGGCTTTAATCCGGACGACATCAATCTATACCAACAACGTTCTGCGAAACTGATTCTAGGCAGACCATGGCTGGCCGCATGGTATCTCCCACACATATTTAGGTGGCTAGGTATTGCTCCTGCGCTTGACCCAGCAGTCACACTTACTGCAGCATGTTTAGGTTACTGGCTTAGACAAAATGGCTCTACCGCCTTTCTCTCACCGGGGTACCCGGATGTAGAGACAAGGCAAGGAGCAGTTGTCCAACGCATCTTCCGAACATGGATCCCCCTGCTCGGACTAGATAAAGTCGGTGACCTATTACGCATAATTGCAGGACAAAATACCAGAAGAAAGCACCTCCAATTCCTCCGTCAGCTCAAACTTAGCCTTTATCAAGCCATACAAGTACATGCGTTGCAGTATCTTCAATCTAGAGTAAGCTTACAACTCCTGCCTGGTGGAGTATCATGGACTTGGTTAACCAGTCTAGCCGCAGTACCTAAACTTGCCGTTAATGGGGTTGCGCGGTTTGCTGTATTACGCTGGGCAGTGAATGAGGATGATGATGAATGCCTTCGGCTTCGCATTGCAGGCTCTCTTCAGGCTGAGCAGCCATGCCAGCTCACACCCGCTTGTATCCACCCGGACTTAATTTTGCCCCAGCCTGTGAAAGATGCTGCCATGATCACAATATCAATGCAACCACCCTGTGCAGTAGTGAGAGATGGGGAATACCGGCCACATCCCACTGGCACGCCATCGCGGACTCCACCCGGGGATATTTTCCTGTTCCTGCCTCATGGCGTGACCGCGGTCGAAATCTCTCTCCCTGCGTAGCGTGCGGGCATGGAGATAACCCCTCTCAACACTGGGCTCGCTTTTGCATCGTACCTGTCCTAGTTGCCAATATCCTGTCACCCTCTTCCAACCCAGTGAAATCATTGGACCAGCTTGCTCGAGTCAACACAGCCGGATGCGTGATCGCGAGCCACGTTCTGTTTGCGGTCAACTTGTTGATAGCTCCTTATTACTAGTGTTGGTGAGAAACGTGTTTCGTGCTGCTGTTGTCTCTTCCGTTTGATGGACTTCTGTTCTCTGTGGATCACTCGAAGTTTCTTTGTGCTTGCAATTACAACAGTCATTTATTGGACAGGTGTTTTGCTTGAACTTTTTACTTTGGAAGTGACTTCAACATGGAAATCAACTTCTTGCAGTGGCTTTTCAATCTTGACGTTTTCTTCACTGAACAGGTTTCTTGCAGCGATGTTACTATACAACTCAGGTTTGAATGGATTCAATGTCACGTCGTGACGTATGGCTCAGCAGGGTTGGGTGGCGGGTAGCCTCTATCCTTTTTGGACAAGAGGTTGCTCCTACATGGGAGCGCGCGCGCGGGGGAGGGTAGCTGCCTCGGCTCCCCTCGCTCTGCGACCTGTGCCGGTCGTTTCAGCTCAGTTTGGCATTCGTGATTTCCTGGTTTTTTCAAGTGGCTTCATTTCAGCTTGCATTTGCATTGGGTGGCTTTTGTTTGGAGTCGTGAATGTGGATTAGCCTTGACAGATTTTCCGAGTGTGATCCTCAGGAAGGGTTCATTGTCCATATTCCCGGGTGGTTTGGCCTTCAATCCATCATTTTGGCATTTTTGACTCCTGCGGAATCCCATCGTTATTTACGTACTTGTGTTTATTTGCTGCTTGACACCAGGGACCTCCTTCTCAACGCTACAGCTGTCAGAATTCAATATTTTGGGTCTTTTTCAGTGCCAACACCACCAGTGCAGCCAACGTTGCAGCCAGCCGTCGGACAAGGTGGGGGAGACTGGGACCTAGAATTTTCTGGCAGTAGTGAGCCTTCTGACACTAGTGAGTCTGCAGAGGCAGTTGAGAATCATGCCATGGAGGGTGAAAACATTGACGGAGTACAGGACCTCTGAAGGTGCGTCTCCAGAAGGTACTGACAACATGCCTGTCAGCGATGACCTCAGTTTGAGTGTGGCCGAACAGCTTGGAAATGCCGAGACCTCAGATTTTTTGTCAGGTGGTGGTGCCTTAGATGACAGTGCTTTTGGTGACGGTGAACTTGGTAGACATGAGTTGCCATGGGATTCAACCACAGGTCCAAATCATGGTCAGGCACAACTGGGTTCCAGGAATTGTGCGGCTTTGGCATTGGGTGCAAGTCAGGTGCCAAGAGGGCCAGTGATTTCGGAATCCAGTTTTGAGCAACTGTTGTCGCATGCATACTTGGGCACCAGGGGTCAGTTGACTGTTAAGATGCCTTGGGAGCGTGGAGTTTTCAAGAAGGTCTTTCAGAAACCTGCAACTGGTATTCAGCATGTTTTTCAGCAGCCAAGAATTTGGGTCAATTACAACCTGGAGTCTGTTGCAGAGACCTTGGAAGACTTGCACGAGCCGACGGCAAAACGTCCAGAGCTGGTTGGAGCCTTTTTCGAACATGCTTTAACTGCGGTGTCTGATTTGTCATTTCATCAGCAACGCACTGGTCTTCTGGAAACAGCAGTGGAAAAATGGTTCTGCATCATCACGGTGAACATGCTGGCATCCTCGACGGGCAGGGACATCATCAGTTTTGGAAACATGGATGATCAGAAGCGAGGGGCCTTTGAAACTATTGAAGCTGTGATTGGTATCAGATCTAGGACCACGGCTATCACCAGGGCAAACTCCTTGTTGAAATTCCTGCGCTGGAGGGCGGAGTGTTCTGACAATGATGGCAGGCCCTTTGAGGAGCAGGAGGCATGGCAGTATTTGAAGGAGTTGAGAGAAACTGGAGCGGCTCCCACAAAGGGTTCAAGTTTTCTGTCAGCATGTGCATATGCATTTCATGTTTTTGGCTTCAACGATTTGGAGAGCATTTGCAACAGCAAAAGGTTGAAAGGACTGGCTGACCTGATGCATGCCGTCAAGGCGCCGTTGAAGCAGGCGTTGGTGCTCACGATCAGGCAGGTTCTCATGCTGCATGAATTGTTGGATGCTACAGATTGCAATGTGGTTGACAGGGCAGTTGCTGCATACCTCCTTGTAGCCCTGTATGGGAGATGTCGGCACAGTGATTTGCAAAACATTGAAGACGTTTTCATAGATTTGGGTCCAGAAGGAGAATATCTTGAGATTACAACGAGGACGCACAAGACCTCGAGGACAGCATCTCAGAAATCCAGGTTGTTGCCCGTGGTTCTGCCAGCCATAGGTGTGCAAGGGCGAGAGTGGATCACGGCTGCGAAGATGGCCTTCAAAGACTATGGCCTCAGCCTGGAAGGCCATATCGGTGGACCTTTGTTCAGACCGCCGGGTGCCGATGGGAACAGCCACTGCAAAAGGGGCCTTACCTCACAAGAGGTATCAAGGTTTTTGAGAGTCATGTTGGGTGAGAACATGACACATGACAAGGAGAGCGGGCCAAAGTTGTCGTCGCACTCACTCAAAGCGACAGTCCTCTCTTGGGCGGCGAAGGCAGGCATGGCGGCTCAGTACAAGTCCATTTTGGGGCGGCATGTGAGTGCATACACAGATTCAAGTGCTGTCTATGCAAGGGACTTGTCAATAGGTGCGGTGTCACGCCTTCAAGAGGTTGTTCTGCAGATATACAGAGGAGAGTTTCTGCCTGACGCGCCTCGAAGCGGGTATTACCCAGTGGCCATGCCTGTTGTTGAAGCACCTGAGTTGCCAGATGCAGAAGTGATCAAGGTTGAAGATGATGCTGCATGTCAGGAGCTGGATATGGAAGTTCCGGTGGCTGACAGCCAACTGTGTGAAGAGGCTTGCAGTGCCTCGTCAGATGGCTCTGAGTCGTTGGAAGGTTCTGACTCCGAAGAGGAGATAGTGCCACCAACACCCAAGTGCTATAGGCACGTTGCAGCTGGCCCTCTGGAGGGGAAATTTGTGATGCACAAAGTGTCACACTTGGTGCACTACGTTGACTCTGGAGTGAAGGGAGGCCTGGCAACCAAGGTCATTTCATGCGGCAGAGCTCTGAACAACAACTACAAGACCGTGGAGAGATTTGACACGGTTGACGTTTGCCGTCGCTGTAAAACCAATGCGACGAAAGACGGACTCTTGCCGAAACCTGCAGTATAAAAAAGTGTGCTCTCACATGGTGAGTCTTGGCACACTCTGGTGCAAGGGTTAGGTTGCGTGGCACCTCATTGGCTGCATGGCAGCATGATTGCACATGTCAAGATTGGATTGGAAAGAGAAAGGGTATGAGTTATTTTGTTGCAGATTTGCAAGACATGTAGTGCTGACATGAGTGTTGAAAATTCGAAAGATTGATTGAGAGTGAATTTATGGATTCATGGAGCGTGGCTCGTGAGGAAGATGTGATGGTAGTAATGCTACTGAGTTTGAGTCATGGCCCACTTTCATTTTTGAAGCTTTCATTCATGAACTGTTTTGTTTTATATGGAAATGAATGCACTTGGAAAGACTTTTTCTCAGAACCTGTCACGACTTTCAGGTTGATTGGTGAACGATGTGACACTTGTCAAACAGCTTTCATTAGTGTGCACCTTGTAGCTTGTGATCAATGGCGAGCTTACTGGATTCAGAAGCGCAATTTGTGCAGCGCACCATCGATTTGAAGCTATCGGAGGAGCTCAAGCGCAGTTTGAAAAGGACAGGGTTGCAGACTTTTGGAACCTTTGCATACGCACATGGCCAACCAGGACAGAACATAGCAGATGAGGCTTTCGAGACTTGGGTCACAGGCCAATTGTTGACAGGTGCCACCATAGCAGATATCGCAGGTGCCAAGAGGCTGCTCTTCGAGAGTCAAACAATTGTTCTGGCGTCCTTGCAGGACCAAGTGAATACAGCCGATGCTTCTTCCATAAAGAAGGTGCCGGTGGCGGAGCGTGAGACCAAAATGAGGGCGATCAAGCAGAGATTGACAGGCCTCCTCATAGAAGGCCCACTGGAACCTGGCCATGCACTTTTGGACACCACGGCCAGCATGATGCAACTCAATGAAATCAAATACATTCCTCCGGAAAAATGTATCTCGAGGACTCATGAAGTTTTGAACCAGAAGTCGCCCACGAAACAGTTGGATATCTCTGCAGAGAGCCTGGTTGTGAAGGAAAAGCAAGACACCCCAGACATGACTGTCACCTCAGCACTCCAAGTACAAGAAGCTTTCCAGCGGCGCGGCATAGCACTGGTGTTTGCAGATCTCATCACCCATGAGAGTTACACCAGGTACCTCACAACTCTTTGTGGTCATTTGCATAGGGACCCACCAACAGGGTACGCGAGGACCACAGTGAGTCAATTGGTGACAGCTGATCGAACAGTGTGGCAGATGTTGTTGGAGGAAGGCGTGCAGCCAAAGAGAGATGAGATGGGAAGCTTGGCGCTTGATACAAAGCTCATGGAGAGTCTCCAGAGTTATCGTGTTTCTTTCTCGTTGCTGCCTCTCATAGCAAAGAAGGATGCCACGCCCAGCCCGACGAAGATTACAAAGCCTTCTATCAGCCATGGAGGAAAAGGAGCCAATTTGCAGGTCCAAAAGCCATGGATCAAGAACAAAGGAGGTAAGAAAGGCGGAAAAGGCAAGGTGAGGGTGCCGAACCATATCTTTAAGCTGGGCGGCACGGCATCAAATCCGGCGGGTGAGGCAATATGTTTTGGATTTAACAGTGGTTCTGGATGCAGTGAAGCAGCAGATGGAGCAAAGTGCAGACGTGGGTTGCACATATGTGCCAAGTGCTATGGCACGCATAGCATCCAGAAGCATGAGTCGACTTGACTCCAGGGCCAGGATTGCGTTGAAGCATTGACCAGTGATACATCTAAGAGATGTGTGGTGGATGACAGCATTTTTGCAGATACAAATTTTTCAGGTTGTGCTGGGCCGAGTGATTCATGCGAAGAGCGTGTTGGCTGCAGTAACTCAATTAAAGAGCAGAAAACGGACACAATGGCAGCGAAGACTGACATACCAACAACTTGCAGTTTTGAAACCATTTTTCCAGTGAAATTTGAACGTGATCGCCGGAGTGCAGGCGACTCAGCTGAGAAAATGCCGTCCGTTCAGCAGCATCAACCAATGCATGGTGTTGAATTGACATCTTTTGATTTTAGCAATGAGCAGTTGAAAGGACCTGTGGTCATTGAGGTTTTTTGTGGCAGTGCCAGGGTAACAGCATCCTTGAAGGAAGTGGGACTCACCCAGTCCTTTGGGGTCGATCACGTCTTAGACAAGGCGGTGTCAGCGGCAAAACGTCTCGATCTTACTCAGCTTGAAGACCAGCAACTTTTTCTTCAGTGGATGAGTTCACCTTTGGTTGTTGGATTGTTTTTAGCACCCCCTTGCGGAACTTGCTCTTTGGCAAGGAACATCCAACTGAGGGACGAGAAAGGCAGGAAAATCCCAGGCCCGATACCTTTACGATCTGCAGTGTGGCCGGAAGGCTTGCCTGGGCTGGGTGCCAAGGATAGAGCAAGGGTATCAGCAGCGAATACACTGTATGACTTTGTTGCAAAAGTTGTTGCACTGGCACATTCAATGGGGCTCATTGTAGTTGTGGAAAATCCTAGATCATCGCTTTTTTGGCTGACGCGTTTTTGGAAAAATATTGGAGTGCCAATGCAATATACGGCACATCAGGCATGTGCATACGGTGGTGAGCGACCGAAGTGGACAGTTTTGGCATGGAACCATCCAGCTTTCTCTAGCATCAATAGATGCTGTCCGGGAGAAGGCAAGCATCATCATCACAAACCTTGGGGGCTGGTGAAGTCTGAAACAGGTACCCATTTCTCCACTAGCGAAGAAACAGCTTACCCACGGGGTCTTGCACATGCAATTGCAAAAGTTTTTGCTGAAATCATGACATCATTTGGTTGGAGTCCACCATCAGAGCAACTTACTGGTACAGAGGTAACTCTACAGTCTATGAGAGCGGCCGCAACAGCGCAACCAAAGGCATCCAAGATGCCGCCTGTGGTGAGAGAACATAAATCTGTTGTTTTGATTCAAGGTCCTCACGAAGCGTTGTGCGAGGTACCCATTGCCCCAATGCAGCGTCTCAAAGACGCCTGGCAAATTCCGGCGGCTTGCTCATCCAAGATGAAGGAGATTCCAGCGGGGGCCCAACTGTTGCGTCAGACTCCCCTTCGGATAAGTGGGGGGAAAAGTCATCCTGGGTCAACAACAACAACGGACACAGCTGAAGTGTTTGGGGCAGATGTTTTTGAGCAGGCTTGGGGCATTCCGTTCAGTCCCAAGGAGTTCATGGAAGAAGCAGTAGCAAGGGGTCACCCCAAGTTGTTTGCGAGGCTGGTACCTGAAGTTCTGCAGGTGGCCATAAGGAACAATTTCAAACCTACAAGTGTGCAAAGTTTGCCAGCAGCAAGGGCGAAGTGGTTTTCAAAATGGACAGAAAGAGCAAAGCAGTTAACAGAGTCTGATGTTGCACTCAAATCATCCCTGCCTCCTCACGCAGCACACATTTTGGAGCCGAAGCGCTTACTGTTGTTTAAGGAAATTTTGGAGGATATTGGTTATCCTGATGTGGGAGTGTTTGACGAGCTGGTGCATGGAACAGAGTTGGTCGGTGAGGTGAAACCATTTGGAATTTTTGAGAAATCGTTTAGACCGGCAGAAATGACCACAGAGCAACTGATGTCTTCGTCACAATCCAACAGGGTGTTGAATTTTTACAGATGCTCTTCTTCTGGGGACACTGAGATTGATGAAGTAGTCTACAACAAGACGCTTGAGGAAGTTGAGTTGGGTTGGGCCAAGGGCCCCATTGCTTTGAATGACTTGCCGCATGATGCAGTGGTCAGCAGGAGATTTGGACTGAAGCAGGCAGCAAAAATCCGTCTCATAGACGACCTGAGCTCAAGCAAGGTGAACCAGACAGTACAAACGGCTGAATCTCCCAAACCGCACTCGGTGGATTTTATCGCAGCCATGCTTTTGGAGGTTTTGAAATACAGCAAGGGTGTCCAACTGTGGGGCAGGTCATTCGATCTGAAAAGCGCGTATAAGCAATTAGCCATAGCAAAATCTTCCTTGCCATGTGCCTTCGTTGCAGTGTATAACCCGACATCAGGCAAGGCGGAACTGTATCAATTGCTTGCAGCACCCTTCGGTGCAACCAGGAGTGTGTATTCTTTTTTGAGAATCTCAAATGCCATCTGGTATATAGGCGTTAAAGCATTGAGCATCATATGGAGCTGCTTCTTTGACGATTACGTCTCTTTCTGCAGGGAAGAGCACGTAAACAACACTCGCATGACAGTCTGCCTTTTATTCAAACTTTTGGGTTGGAAGTTTGCTGAGGAAGGAGACAAAGCTGAGGACTTTGCAAAGGAGTTTGGAGCATTGGGCATACGTATCATGTTAGGAGACTCAGCGGATGGTGTAGTAAAGTTTACAAACACTGAAAAGAGAGCGACAGAGCTGATCAGCACCATACATGCACTCCTTGATAAGGGATCCATGACCTTGGTAGAATCACAGCGACTCAGGGGAAGGATGCAATTCATGGATGGCCAGTTGTTTGGTAGGCTTGGCAAGTTGTGTATGAGGGAAGTAACCAATCACTCCTTGATGTCTAATTCTACTAAGCTTAGTAAGCGGACTGCAGATGCAATGAAGAGGTTTTCAATTTTCCTGGAACATGCAGAGCCACGTCAGCTGCACTTGAACTCAGACACGGTGTGGTTCATATACACTGATGCGTGTTTCGAGCCCACTTCGGATAGCTGGAAATGTGGTCTGGGAGGAGTTCTTGTAAATCCTGTTGGTCGCAGAGAGGCCTTCTTTTCCGTGGCCCTTGATGAGGACCAGATGGA